GGGGGGTATCTTGTTTACGGTGTTTAGCATGCTGTCGATTTTGTTTATGTTTAGTTTGTTTTTGTGATCGTTGTTTTTACTACAAAGCTGTTTTCGTGTTTTTTCTTTTTAAAACGAAATTGCTTTTTGTTGCTGTTTTAATATTTTTAAAGTTAAAAAGTCATGAAATTAAGTTTCTGGTGTATACAAATTTTAATGTTCACCCGTAACCACTGTCTGTTGTGAAATGGTTAATATTTGTGTCGTTGTGACAGTAGATTTGAACTTGATTTCCGAGTTGGGCAGTTATTTTTTTAGGGGGGGGGGGGGGTACAATTTTATTTTTGTGTGTGACTTGATGGGGTTGAGATTTTGCTTTCTTCATTCTTTTTCTTTTAAAAAAATGTGTTTCTTTTGTTCTGTTTTGTTTCGGAGGGAAGACGGTATAAATCTACTTTCTCCGTGTTTCCTGGAATCCCACTCAGCCCAGGTTAACCCGGATAGGAGGAGCCCGCCTCCCAAATGATCTAAATTGTGTCAATGGCGGTGTAAAAACATTGTATTAACAATCTTTTCTCAATAACCACCCGTCCACAGGAGCTGATTTATTTCTGCTTTTGAAATCAGTAGGTCCTTGAACAAGACAGTGTCGATCAACACATATTATTTTTGTCCTTTCGATGACCTATATTGTCATTCACAAATCTAAAACAGATAACGACATGATAGATATTTTTAGCCTAATCGACTAAATAGTTTGGTTTTTGTCCTCCATTCGAGTTCGTCATTATCTTTTTTTTTTAACAAAGGTGTTTTTACACCATAATCGTCACAATTTAGATCATTTAGGAGACGGAGCTTCGACTCTACTTGTTAGGTTCAACGCGGGCCGAGAGAGATACACTCTCTTTTCTACTCTTGGCTCCCTCTTACTGCTGTCTTTCAGCTCAACGCTTGATATCAAGGTAGGTAAGACCGAACACTTAGCCATCTCGGATAAGGGTGAAAACACCTCGGAGGTCTCGAAGTTGTGCACGTTAAAGATCCTTTGGTAGTTAAAACTAGGCTTTGGTTGCCACCCGGGCAAAATTAAAATTTAACTAGTCTACTACCAAATCTGAAAACACTTATAATAATGCATTCCTTGCGCTCCCGTGACATTATACAGTTACGAAAGCCTCAAAGCACTTGCAACGTCCCCCCTCCCCCCGCCCCCCACCCCATAAAAAACAACAACAAAGCACAAAACAAAACAAAACAACAAAAAATAATTAAATGTCTTTTCAGCAAGATCATCAAAATTTTCGATAGAAATTCTCCCCATCCGGGAAGCGAACTCATGTCCTCTATGTGCGACAGCGAAGCGCCTTATAGTCGCTACACCACAGACATCGGTATTTGCATTTCTGCCCTCTGAATGTTCTGATAACTCTTCAGTGACACAAAGATTTTCTTAAGATTTGTTGTTTTTTTTTGGGGGGGGGGGTTGGTTTCTTGTTTTATTTTAAACTTTATTCCTCACCCTACACACCCTTGCTTACCTGCTTGAAGAAATCTTGACCATCATGCAGTCTCCTTTTTTGGTTTGAATTAACAAGAGTTTTGCGGCATTTGCAACTCAATAAGGTCACATAAAGTCAGAAGATTAGCGGTGCCACCTGAGAGTAACAACCAAAAAAAAAAAAAGAAAAGAAGGGGGTGGGGGGTGGGGATAGGACGACAGATGTTTGATAGGAAAGAAGGAGCAAACCACACCAGAGCACCCGCCAACCAACCACCATCAGTCTTCGTAAGAAAAACAGTATCAAGCATCCACCAAAAAGCACTGTTATCCCTTCATTCTTCTATATATCCATTCGTTAATGCATTCACCAATCCATCCATCCATCCATCCATCCATCCATCCATCCATCCATCCATCCATCCATCCATCCATCCATCCATCCATCCATCTATCTATCGATCCATCAACCCACACATCCACTCACTCATCCACCCAACCAACAACCGCTTCACCCACAACTCCATGTTGTATTTATCTATTTATCAGTTAAAACAATGTGTGTGTGTTTGTTTGTTTTTGGGTTGTTGTTGTTGTTTTTTTGTTTGTTTTTGGGGGGGGGGGGGTGTAAGTGTTTTACAGAGCTCGCACATGATGTCATATGAGCGAGCGTGATACATTAAACATTTTCAGTTGGTAGGAAATTTTGAATTTTACCCGGGTGGCGGCCGAAGTATACTCCAATCGATTTTGGACCACCAAGGGATCTTTAACATGCGGAACTTACCAAAGTGACCTTCGAGATTTCGTGCCGTTATCCGAGAAAGCTAGGTGTAGATCTCACCTGTCATAAGATCAGGGGAGTGGCTGAAAGACAGTAGTAAGAAGGAGCCAAGGAGTAGTAGTAGAAAGCTGAAGAAAGAGTCAGGAGCCCAGAGGAGTGGCAAAAAGGAGGTGAGGGGATGGGGGCAGAAAGGGGAAACAAAAGAAGACGAAAGAACATTATTAGAGAGCAGAAAAGGGGGTAAAATGAAAAAATTTCCGTCGCTCTCTAAATTCGAGAAAATTTCCGCTGCAACCCAGATTTGAACCCTGACCTATTAAATGAGAGGCGAACACCGTAACCTCTCAACCACTGTGGAGCCCCCCCCCAATGTAAATCGATAGATGCCTCCACCTGTCTATACATTTGTAATGTTATTATTTTTTAAAATCTGTCTTATGGATCACCATCTAATATAAAACTGAAGGAATCAGAAAAATAGGGTCGAGGTCACCCTGAAATCGTTTTTTTTTTAAAGAATGCAGAACGAAAGCAAAAAAGAAAGACAGTCAAAAAGAAAGACAGAAAGAAAGAAAGACAGAAAGAAAGAAAGAAAGAAAGGAAGAAAGAAAGAAAGAAAGAAAAGCAGCAAGACATTCTACCGAGTTTGGGTAATTTATTATTGTCATCACATCCCCTTTCCATACAAGTTGTAAGATCGCGTAGCGGCAGACATAGACCTCTAAATACAAACAAAAGAAAGATACAATAGAAGTTTGTTACCATCTAGCTAGTATAAGGCTAATGCCAGAATAAACATCAATGTGAATTGCTTTTTGAGTAGCTATCTCTATATAACTCTAAATGTCTTGTAATTCGATTACTGCAGTTGTTGAATGATGCATCTGATGTGGTATGTACATAATGACAGCTTTCCTTTTTTTTCATATTGAATTTTAATTAAAGTAATATATGATTTAATTTTTATGTATATCTGCATGTGCTTTTACGGTCTTGTACAGCCAAGAAAAATTTCCCTCTTGGGCAATTAAGTATTATCTGAAATCTGATGAGCCTATCAAGTCATGTCATTCAAATCCTGTGTTGTGTAGTCTCCCCTGACAGATGTCGCCATCCCAAAGATCAGAATACAACATGATGGTTCCCTCCACCCCCACCCCACCGCCACCCCAACCCC